CGGGTCTCGAACCCGCGGGCTCAGGCAATTCACTCACCTCAGCCTCCCAAAGGCTCGGGATTACAGGCTAAGCCACCAAGCCGGCATCTGATTTTTTTTTTTTTTAAGAGACAGGGTCTCACTCTGTCATCCAGGCTAGAGTGCAGTGGTGCGATCAAAGCTCACTGCAGCCTCTGACTCCTGGGTTCAAGCAATCCTCCTGCCTCAACCTCCTGAGTAGCTGATATTACAGGTGCCACCGCCATGCTCAGCTAATTTTTAAATTTTTTATAGAGACAAAGGTCTCACTATGTTACCCTGGCTGATCTCAAACTCCTGGACTCAAGCAATCCTCCTGCTTTGGCCTCCCAAAGTGCTGGGATTAATTATAGGCACTAGCCACCAAGCCCAGTCAGTTTTCCACGCTTTCTAATCTGATAATTCTGATCTCTTCTAGTCTAGAAAAACAGATGACCATATCTGTTAAAGCTGCATCTAAAGTATAAAGGCACTGTTGTAGCTAGAACCTTCCAAAGAAAAATAAAATTTAGAGTATCTGTTAAGACTGCCAAAAGATCTTTATCATTTAATTTTTGGTTTTTGGAAATATTACCAAAGTACTGAGAGTTAATGATAAATCTGGAAATAAGAGGCATTATATCACATTTTCTGCAGACATTTTCTTTCTTTCTTTTTTCTTTCTTTCTTTCTTTCTCTTTATTTCAGTAACTTTAGGGAGTACATATAGTTTTTGGTGACATGATTGCATTGTATAAATGGCAAAGAAGTCTGGGCTTTAAGTATACCCACAGCCCCACCTGACCGCAGGCTTCTTCTATCAGATATTTTACATGAAGATTTTTATAAAGTCTCTTTCCTTCATCTGTCTGTACCTTCTCCAAATCTAGCGATCTAATCCTAAATTTTAAGTTTAGCAAATCCCACCTGTCCTGGAAAAGGCGTGTTGCCAGCATGTAGTTCATGGAGGTCTTGTGCTCAAGGTAGGACCTAAAAGGCAAAGAAAGAAATTCATTATTTCTTTTTTTTCTTCCTTTCTTTTTTTGTGGAGGGATGAGGTCTCTCTATGTGCTTAGGCTGGTCTCAAACTCCTGGGCTCAAGAGATTCTCCCACTTTGGTCTCCCCAAGTGCTGGAATTACAGGCGGGAGCCACCATGCCCAATGATAAACTAATTATTTCTTAAATTTAGTTGAAGAGGAAAATACAGAAATAAACCATGCATCAAGCACAGAAGTGACATGTTACTTATACACTATTTCTAAAGAAATAAACTGTTTCCAAAGTGGCAAAGGAGAAGACAGTTGCTCAGATTCAAATGATAAAATACTAGAGTAGCAGCAAATATAATAAAAAGACTAAAGAAAAAGAAGACTTAATTTAGGAAATAGAAAGAAAACCTAGCATTTCTTGGATTATTAATAGGTGACATACTAAACTGAGAAAATAATACTTAAAGAAAACACCAAAATATACACAAGTCAGATGAGGCTGGGAATAGGAGAGATGCATAAAGGGCCTGAAGACATAGGCAGGACACTGTTTCCATCATGTTATTCCTCAGCTACAGAGCTTTCGATGGCTCCCTGATATCTATGCTGTAGACACTCCCCACCCATGAACACTTAGCAATGCTTGTGCTTAAGGAATACTTATCTTACCCACTAATGGTACCAAAGTCCAACAGTAGTGATGTTGGTTATCCAGTATGACAAAGAGAAGCTGTAAAGTGCTTCCTTTAAGTGAAAAGGTAAAGGTTCTCAACTTAATAAGGAAAAAAGAAATCGTGTGCTGGGGTTGCTAAAATAAAAACAGCTATCCATGAAAATTGTGAAGAAGGAAAAAGAGACCTGTGCTAGGTTTGCACCTCAAACTGCAAAAGTGATGACCACAGTGCGATGTAAGTACTTAGTTAACACAGAAAGAAAGCACAGGATGGCCACAGTGGCTCCTGTTTATAATTCCAGCACTTTGGGAGGATTGTTTGAGCCCAGGAGTTTGAGACCAGCCTAGGCAACATAGTGAGACCTCCTCTCCACACAAAGAAAGAAAGAAATTAGCAAGGTGTGGTGGCATGCACCTATAGTTCCAGTTACTCAGGAGGCTGAGATGGATGGATCGCTTGAACATAGGAGGTTGAGGCTTCAGTGAGCCATAATTTGCCACTGCATTCCAGCCTAGGCAACAGAGTGAGAGCCCAACTCGAAAAGAAAAGAAAAGAAAAAGCAGTAAATTTGTGGGTAGAAGACATAAACAACTGGCAGCAGTGTGTTGTGCCAGAAAGCACTGAACCTATATAAATACTTCAGCAAGGAATACCTGAAATTGGTGACATGAAGCCATTTATTGCACATAAGGGATGGTCACACAGACTCAGAAATATAGAAAGTCAACAGCAGCCTAGCACTACATCACTTGACTTCATCTCATCACACAAGTATTGTGTTACAACCATCATAAGAAGCTGAGTATGGAACCGTACGATACCTGAGAGGCCACATTCATAAAATTTTCATTCCAGTATACTGTCATTCATTGGTTATTGCTGTTCATCTCTTACTGTACTTAATTTATAAATTAAACTTTATCATAGGTATGTGCAGGGGAAAAACTATATATAATTGATCCTTGAATAACACAGGGCTTAAGGACACACTGGCCTGCCTCCACAGTCAAACATCTGCATATAACTTTTGCCTCATCTAAGACTTAACTACTAATAACTTACCACTGACCAATAACATAGTCAATGAACACACATTTTGTATGTTATATGTATTATATACTATATTCTCATAATAAAGCTAGAGAAAAGAAAGTCATAAAGAGGAGGAAGAATCTGGTCTTGCTGTCTGAGGGATAGCAGAGGTGGAAGAAAATTCGCATATGAGTGGACCCTCGTGGTTCAAACCAGTGTTGTTCAAGGGTTAACTGTATAGGGTTTGGTAATATCCACAGTTTCAGGCATCCACTGTAGGACTTAGAAAGTATCCCCTGATGATGGGGGAGAAGGTTCCACTATAATCTACCCTTCAAGAAGCAGGTCAAGTCCACCCTCTGCACAAAACCTTGCCTAACACCTCCCAAGTCTGCAGAGGTTTTCTCATCTGAATTACCCTGCTCTTTACAGTACACCTGAGGGACCTGTCACATTTACTATCTTACTGAGCTAACTTTTTCTTCTAGGAAAGCTGCATCATGCAGCAGGAATAAAGTAGGCTCTTGGCTAGGCACAATGGCTCACACCTGCAATCTCAGCACTTTGGGAGGTCGAGGTGAGAAGACTGTTTGAACCTAGGAGTTGAGGCCAGCCTATGCAACATAGCAAGACCTTGTCTCTACAAAAAAATTAAAAAATTAGCTGGGCATGGTGGTACATGCCTACAGTTCCAGCTACTCAGGAGGCTAAGGGAGGAGGATCACTGATCATCTCAGGAGGTAGAGGCTATGGTGAGCCATGATTGTGCCACTGCATTCCAGACTGAGCAAGAGAGTAAGACCCAGCTAAAAAAAAAAAAAAAAAAGTAGGATCTGGAGTCAGAATACCTGATCCAAGTCTCACTGTGTAGTCATGAGCAAGTCACATTATTTTACTAGCCTGACTATTCTTGTCATTAAAATGTGGATAACCATGATGTATGTACAATACATTATAATTACAAAAAGCTACATAAATGAGCTATTTTTATTATATATCTAAATATTTCTCCATAAACATACTGTTAACCTTCAATGGGCAGGGATCTCTCCTAATATTTATTTTACACTCCAAAGAATCAAGTAGAGTGCTTGACAATAGTTGATAGCAAATACGTATTAACAAAATGGCATATTTATTTGCTAGTCGATAGATACATCTCCCCCATTCGGTGTGAAGGCAGCTCAATTAATTTAATACTTTCACCTCTCTGAGGTAGAGTGACTCATTAATCTGATTGGTAACTTAGGAAGAATAAAGAAAACACACTCCATTGAGCAACTCCCTTCTTTCTCTTGGGAGATAGTTTCCCCTTAGGAAATACACATCCTCTACTGCTCCTATAGGGTCAGGCACTTCCCATACATGACCCAGTTCAACTTTGCCTACAATAAGCACGTACATCTGTTTAATTCTGAAGTTCAACAGGAAGTATATCTGCTTGCAGACAGATATAATCAAGCCTATCAACCTAGACTTTATCAGTAAAACATATACTTTGGTCTCATCTATTTTAGCCCTTGTTTTATTTATCTACTGGTTCGAAACCAAACCAGTAAAGAAATGTACCATTATTGGGCCCAAATTATGGGAGGCCCAAAGGTTACTTGTAATTGATTCCTTAGAAAAAGGTCCTCAAATTAAGGTATCATTTCTTGAAGTACTCAAAAGGGGACAGTTCTATTTTCATTAATTAAAAGATATGTTTCCTAAGAAAAAGAAAAATTCAAATTATCTAAAAGCATATCAAAAGGTTTCTTCTATATAATTTTGAAGAAGACCCATGAAACTTTCTGTTGAACGCCTAGGTCTTTTTATAAAATATAACTATACGGATTGTATCTTTTTTTTTAAAGATTTCTCTGTGAACAGCTAGGTTTTCAAAAACCAAATAAGCAAGAAAACATCAAAAAAGAGTTGTTGTTTTTTTTATTCCTCTAAGTTGTAGCTTTGTACTTAAAACCACTAACATCTCAACTAGGTAAAAAGTCAGCAGCAGATGAAGAAAAGTATGTAGCCTATAAGCAAGTACAAAAATCCTCAACCTTATCAGCAATCAGGGAAATGCAAATCAAAACCAAAATAAAATATTTTTCACCCACTAGATTGACAGAAATGAAGAAGTCTGACTGTACCACAAACTGGAGAGGCTACGGGTCCACCGAAACTTCTATGCCTGGCGGCAGGAACACACATTTACACAGTCACTTGGGAAAACAACTTCATGCTCCTTTTTTTTTTTTTTTTTAATTAAGCATTATCTTTTAAAGTTCAACACTCACATCTATTATGGCCCAGTAATTCCACTCCTAGATACATGCCCAAAAGACATACACAAAAATATTTACAGCACAACTGTCCTTAACAGCAAAAGATCAGAAACAAGTCAAATGCGGGAGAATGGAAAAATTAACAGTAGTATAAATACACAGTAAAATATAATAAAACACTGAAAAAAAAAAAAGAATTGCAGCTATATGCAATAACATGAATCTTAGTAACATAATGCTAAATGAAAAAAGCAACTGAAACCAAACAACAGAATTCTGCTTCTACATAATGAAAGGATAACTGCCAGGCAACCTCCTCGGGTCTCCTCCTACTCTGGGAGCTTTTCTGTCCTCTCAATAAATCCTGCTTAAAAAAAAGAAAAGAAAGAAAAGAGAAAGGATAACTGCTATAGGACCTGCCCTCTTACCATGAATAGCTAGAAAAGTATACAAAATATCTGAAATTCAGAACTGTTTTCAGACATGAAATAACTAGCAGCACAGGACTGTAATAGCTGGCAGAGGAAATAAATGAAGTAAGTCCTACAATTGCTCTGCGCTTCTGCCTAGAGGCAACTTCTAGACTATGCAGGAAGAGGCAACATTCAAGTAGAGCCCAGCAGTCTCTGAGATGAGATGACAGAGATCAAAGTTCTAGGAAGCAGCTGGAATTTTTAGAGCAATGTACTGGAGAGAGGAAGCTGTGGATGAGAAGATATCAAAAAATCATCAGGATGGATCCCTTGAGTCTTTGAGTGAATACAAATCTGCACAAGAAAGGGAGAAAGTCCAAAGGCTGACCAAACTGATATTGTCAGAATAAAGGACAAGTAAGGAGAAAGGAAAGTGCAATCTGCAAACTGAGTTACCACCAGCCAAAAGGGAGCAGTCTCCTTGAATATGGAGGTCATTTAACAGACACCCCAAAAGAATCGGTAACGTGGAAGTATCCTAGACAAAAAGTTCTTCTAAATGAACCATAGCATGCTTAAAAATCAGCCTGAGAAAGACTAAACTGATCTACATTTAACTTAAGTGCCTGACCAAAAAATAATAATAATAACTTCAACAGGGTTTAAAGAAGGCAATAAAATCCAAACACTCAAAAATATCTGCAATGTCCAATATCTGATTTTAAAAAACTACTGTACATGTGAAGAAATAGGGAAAATGGAAAAAATGTGACCCATAAACAAGAGAAAAGACAGTCAATAGAAATAGACCCTGAAATGACTAAGGTAACAGAATAAGATAAAGATTTTATAATAGTTATTATAACTATTAAGGATACAAAAGAAACCATGAAAATAAATTTTTTTAAAAGAGAAAAGAAAGACAGAAAAAAAACCAGATGAAAAATAAAAAATTTCAGTGGATGGAATTAATAGATAATTAGGCACTGCAGACAAAACAATTAATGACTTTAGAAACATACAGAAATAGACCATCCAATTAAGAGAAGAGAAGAAAAAGACTGAAAGAATATGAACACAGCCAAACTTATAATAAGATATAAACCAAGTTAACATGAACCACAATCTCAAAAGAAGGAAGAAGTGAAATAGAAAAAAATATTTTAAGAAATAAAGGCCAAGAGTTTTCCAGATTTGATGAAAACTATAAGCTGACAGATTGAGAAGCTCAATGAATCCCAAGCAGAATAAACATGAAGAAAATGACACCAAAGAACATCTTAATCAAACTGTTGACAGTCAGTCATACGCAGATAATCTTATAAGTAAGCTGAGAAAAAAATACATTATGCACAGAAGAACAAAGATAATTACTGCATGCTTCTCATCAGAAAAATGCAAGCCCCCAAAATGGTGAAAAGACATTTTTAAGGTGCTGGGAATTGTACATGAATGCTCATAGCTATCATAATAGCCCAATACTGGACACAGCCTAAATGTCCCAAAATAGATAAATGGCTAAACAAATTACAGTCTATTCACACAATGAAATAGTACATAATAATAATAAGGAATAACTACTGCCTCATAAAACAGCACACATATTTAAAACCCTATGCTGAGCAAAAGCATCCAGATATGAAAGAATACATATTTGTACTGTATGATTCCATTTATGTGGAATTCTGGAAAATCTAGTGACATAAAGCAGATTCGTTGATGTCTGAGGCTGGAGTAATGGAGAAATTCACTATAAAGGGCACAGGTGAGTTATGAAGGTGCTAGAGATATTCTATAACTTGGTTTGTGGTGGTAGCATGGTTACATAGGTAGCAGTGGTTCATAGTTGCTCCAAATCACCACCAAACTGTACACTTAAAATGGATGCATTTTATTGCATGTAAACTATATTTCAGTAACGATTAAAAATAAATAATATGTTGCTTAGGCACACAAACAGATGATAAAACCTTTTTTTCAAATCAAAGTAATGATAAACACAAAGTGTAGGACAGTGTCTAACCCTGGGTTGAGGAGTTAGTTAGGAAAAATGCAAAGGACTTTTTAAAAAGGGAGAAATAATACACAGGCAGATTAAATTACTGTTAGTGATCTAGTTCTTGGGTTGGATAATACTCATCATATTATAAATAAACAAAATAAGAAAGGCATATTGTGGGGAGCCATGATGACAATGTATAACAATCTAATTTTATGAACCCGAGGTACATATTAAAAATAAAAAAGGCAGTCACCTCACCCATATATTTCCCATGTCTCAGATGTAGGAAATATGCGAATAAATCCACCTCTCCGATCATTCTCTTCCTTCACCCTCCGTAAAACTTTAATCTAGATGGAAAATAAAATAAAATGAATATCGATTTTGAAAACTAGAATCCATGTAGCTACAGGACAAAGGAAGAGAGTTACAATCCAAAAACATAAAAGAAACATGAAGAGAGAAATTAATTCCATTTAAGATGCTGCTTCCTGAGAAAAAAATTCTCCCACCTTGAATCTTTCTCTCTTCAATATAAGGCATCAGCTTGTTGTGAATATTATGAATCACTCACTAATGTTCACTAAAGCCTGTGTTAGCCCACAGAAGCCTGAAATGGAGCCATCCTTACCTCTTCCATAGACAGACCAAGCACAGAACCACCTAACTTTCCCGACACTTTCTCCCGGGCTGAGCCCACCAAGTTTTTCATTTCCGCATCACTAGCAGAGAGTGGACGGGAACGCTAAGGAGAAAAAAATAAAAATAAAAATGCTTTTAAAACAATTTTCAGTCCAGGCATGGTGACTCACACCTGTAATCCCAGCACTCTGGGAGGCAGAGGAGAAAGGATTGCCTAAGTCCAAGGGATCAAGACCAGCCTGAGCAACATGGTAAGACCCCATCTCTACAATAAATTTTTGAAAATTAGCTGGGCATGATAGTGTTGGTTCCAGTTACTTGGAAGGTTGAGGTAGAAGGATCTACCTGAGCCCAGCAGAGCAAGGCTATGGCAGACGTGAGTGTGCCGCTGCACTCCAGTCTGGGTGACAGAGACTGACTCAAAAAAAAAACTAAACAAACCAAACACACAGTTTTCGTCATTCCCCACTTCCCTCTTTTCATTCCCTCAATATCATTATCTTTCCTTATATGTATTAGCTCAAATCCATTGCCCATTTTCTGTAGTTAATCTCTTAGCCTGAAACCCAGGGAAACAGATGAAAGCCTATAAACTGACAGTCATAGACAGAGTAGCCAAAGAACAAGCCAGGACTTCAAAATGTCCAAACATCAGTGAATAGCTGTCCCAGAATAAATTATAGACTGTTCCCAAGGAGAGAGAGCATGTGGCCCCAGGCAGCCCCAGCCTAGGGCCATTGTCCCCCAACTATACCAGGCCAGAAGTATGAGGGGAGAAGGTGGTGGCTGGAGGTAGGGGAATGCCCCCTAGAAGGGACCTGTGGGCAGGGAGGAGGCTTGTAAACTCAAAGGTAAGAAGAGAAAACAGAACAGTAGAAAAACGCCATGGGTTAAGAGAGAAATGAAAAGAAAAAGAACAAGAGCAAGATAGTACTTAATCCTAACCTTGGTTTATTTCAAGGATATGGAAAAAAATCTGAAAACAGATTCAACAGAAGAGTAAATATGTATTTATGTCAGCAAGTATATTCTTTTCAGCACTGGGGAAAGAGGTAGGAAGATTAAGATATAAGACACAAAACCAAGGAACAACCCAATGTCATAAATAAAAAAGTTGGACTATGAGATGTTTTAGAACTTGAGGGGATGACAGAGATGAGAGTTATCAGTGACATACAAAAGAGCTGTGACTAAAAGCCTAACAACTTAAGAAATACAATGGTTGCTGTACTTCAGGAGACCCGGAACAAGAGCGAGCGCCCTGGGTACTCCCAGGAGGCAGCCAAATGGGCCATATTCATCACTGTCCCCAAAAGATGGTCCAGGTTATTTCAGCTTCTACATGATGATCAGGGAAGTCACCTCAGAACCAAACACTTAAGCAATTTGATTTTATATGAATAGAGAAAAAGAAAGGTAACAAAGAAGTAAGATGGTACGAAGCATAATCCTACACTATTATTTAAACAAATGAAGTGACAGCTTTTTAAAAATAAGACAGATAAATCTGCCAAGTAGAAAGAATAAGAAATAATTCACCAACTATGGATGCAAACTGTCTTCTAGATCCTAAAAGTAACTTCAACCAGAGAGAAGCCTCATTGTCAGGAGCTATTATTTGTCTTTCTTTATGTATAGAATATCTATAGAAAGGTAACTAACTTCTGGCCTTTTCAGTAATACCCACTGTTACAGATTGAATGTTTGTGTCCCTCTAAAATTTGCATGTTGGAGCTCTACCCTCCAATGTGATGGCATCTAGAGATGGGGCTTTTGAATGTAATTAGGATTAGATGAGGTCATGAGAGTGGAGCTCCTATCTAATGAAATAATGCCCTTATAAGAAGAGATGCAAGAGCCGGGCTCAGTGGCTCAGACTGTAATCCAGCGCCTTTGGGAGGCTGAGGTGAGTGGACTGCCTGAGCCCGCGGGTTCGAGACCCACCTGGGAAGCGAGACCTCATCTCTACAATAAATCAAAAAATCAGCCGGGCATGGTAGCGCATGCCTGTAATTCCGGCTACTTGGAAGACTGAGGCAGAAGGATCACCGGAGCCCAGTAGGTCAAGGCTGTGGTGGCCGGGAGCGGCCACTGCACTCCAGTCTGGGCAACAGAGTGAGACTCCAACTCAAAAAAAAGAAGAGATGCGAGCAACCTCCTTGGGTCCCCTCCCACTGTGGAGCTTTTCTGTCCTCTCAATAAATCCTGCTTTCTCACTTTCAAAAAAAAAAAAAAAAAAAAAGAAGAAGAGATGGCAGAGAGCCTGATCTTCCCCCTTTCTCTCTCCGAGTATGTGCACAAAGAAACAGCTATGTGAGCATACAACAAAAAGGAAGCCACCTACAGGCCACGAAAAGAAGTCTCAGAATGAAACCTGCCTCGCCAGTGCTTTGATCTTGAACTTCCCAGTCTTCATATTGTAAGAAATACATTTCTATTGTTTAAGCCTCCTAGTCTGTGGTATTTTGTCACGGCAGCCTGAACAGACTGATACACCCATGTACACACAAAAAAATGAATGGTTTTACCTTTAGACACAAAAGACACCAATACAAACTAATCTTCAAAGCTAGCATGGGAGTTATAAAAACTAGATTTTCTGATAATCAACTTCATGATGATATAGCTATATACAGAAAACCATGAAATCAACAGATGTAAGAAACATGTGAAATGAAGAGACTTTTATCTGTGTAGCTTTGCTTTTACTGCGGTATTTCCAACATTTGGAACAGTACAGTGTACTTGGTACAGAGTAGATCAATAAATATTTGTTGAATAAATAAATAAATAAAGTGCTGACATACAGATCAATCATGGTTAGAGTTAAACTTTGCAAAAGGATTTTAGAAAATATTTTAATCTCCTCAATCTCTACAAATAATACATTATTTAGTACAAGTTAAAATGAGAGGACTTAGAGGGGAACGTTTAAAGATTTAGGAAAGAAGCCAATATAAGTAATATAACCATTTTTTAAAAATTATTAAAGTGTGAATGCTCATTTTATGTATAATTTAGAAAAGCCAAAATATTAAATGGACAGTGTAAGGATTTTCTCATGATCACACTATTTACTGTTGGCCAAAAAATACTTATCTAGTTCACACATGACAGGGTGTAACTTGACAGCATGTCTCTGATCATAAAGCCACTGGCAGTAAATCCTCTAAAGTCAAATAGCCTTCTTACGTGATACTATTTAAGGGCACTTTAAAATAATCTCACATTAGGTAAGAGGAGAATAAGAAATAAGCATTCATTTAAAATATATAATAAAAATAAACATTTTTATTAAGCATTTAAAAACAGAAAGAATGCTATTTAAAAGGTCAATAAACTAAATCTGTATTAAAAGGGTAATGAAAAATATTGTAAGAAATAGTTATTACCTATCAGAACAGTTTTGTGTGAAACAGGAATGCATGGCTATATTTATAAGAACAGCAGTCAAATCACTATTGAATGGCATCTAATGAGAACTTTCCATTTTGGGTTTTTTTTTTCATGGTTTTTAATATTCCTTGCTTCTAGAAATCTAAATAATGTTGCAATCTTCTCCTATTAACCTAACGTAGTTTCTATAACCAATAATTAGCACCCCAAAACTTTTAAACTTCTCTGCTAATCACTTTCAAAGACTTGTCACCCACACCCACTCCCAACCACTTCTTTGTTTCTCACAGCCCACAATTCTGGCTCTACCTACTGCATACGTATATGTGGACTGTCTGGGTGGGACTGGGGCAGGTAGGAATTCAAGCCTATGCTTCTAGTGGCGGTATTTAGGAAGTTAGAGAAAGGAAGAAATATGAACTAGATTATAGACAAAGGTGAAAGAAAAGGCACAGAAAGTGAGAAGGGAAGAAGGATAAGGAGGGGAAAGGAGAAAAAAGAAATGCTTATGAGTGCCAAGGAGACACACTTTGAGATTAAAAAAGCAAGGCAAAGGTAAAAGAGGAATCAGACTGATTTGAAAGGCCATCAAGACTGTCAAAAACAAGGGCAAAACAGTCTAAATGCAAGCCATTCTGCAGTTTTCACTTTGGTACAGCAGCTACTAGATAAAATTAATCCATATGTTCCCATGGGCTAACTGAATGCACTAAGGAAATAAGGCTCCTCTGAACTGAAAGAAAGACATTACAGCTGGCTATGGCTATCAGGTGCTCAGATAAACTTTGAACCGCCAAAGTGTCAAATTAATATCAAGAATTTTGCCACGCAACATGCACCAAAGATTTTTTATCATAAAGTTTATCATTAGTACAATGTCAAAATCAGAAATCTACTCATAGAAGAAACATTACGTTATCTAGCCACTATTACTAAGGAAGAACTGACTCCAAGAAGTAGAAACTTATGAATCAAAAAAAAGACTCTCATCCTTTTTTTTTTTTTTGAGTTGGAGTCTCACTCTGCTGCCCAGACTGGAGTGCAGTGGCCGCTCCCGGCCACCGCAGCCTCAACCTGCTGGGCTCCGGCGATCCTTCCGCCTCAGCCTTCCGAGTAGCCGGAACTACAGGCGCACGCTACCATGCCCGGCTAATTTTTTGATTTATTGTGGAGATGAGGTCTCACCTGCCCATGCGGGTCGCGAACCCACGGGCTCAGGCAATCCACTCACCTCAGCCACCCAAAGGCATGGGCTGAGCCACCGAGCCCGGCTAGACTCTCATCCTAAAAGCAGCTGAGAAGTACTAGTAATAAGAAAAACTCAACAAATGTAGAATAGAAAAATAGGTGAGTTACTCTAAAGAGATACCATAATTGAGGGGCAAAATATAAAATTTTTCTGAAAGAGAATACATGCAAAGGATAAAAATCTCCCAATCCTGTTTTACAAAGTTTAGAATTATTAATTAAAAATAAACAAAACAACAACACTAGAAATGGTTCAATTTATACATGATATATCTTGCCAATTAGAAAATAAGAGGTAAAATCAAATTTTAAAAGCAAAATGAATTAATGCTATCAAAAGAAAGAAAATAAATTAAAACAACCACATATCAATAAATTTGAATGGAAATGGACAAAAATGGCTTCTAAGAGAAAGTTTAAACATAAAGATAATTAGAGTATACCTTAAAATTAGGTGAAAAAAAGTAAGTAGGCTTATTACAGTAAAAAAAGAGATACGTAACATCTGGAAATTCAGAATAAATATGTCAGCAGGTCTGAGAGACATGCATCTTGTTATTAAGGAAACTAGCTTTAAAAATTAAAAAAAAACCTACTTACAATTATATTTGAAAAATCATGAAGAACTGAGGAATTACCACAGGATTGGAAAAAATGAGGTACCAATCTTCAAAAATAGAGATGATGGATTTGAAAGGAAAAGGCCCGCAAAGGATATAGAACTAAGAGACTTCACAATTTAATAGCAGCAGAAAAAGAAAACTTGACATAGTCTAAAAGGTCAGAACAGGGAATTTCTAAATTTTGTTTGTTTTTTACTCAGCTCTGACGAAACTACTGTGGGGTTGAGCGTGCTTAACAGAAAGACAATGACAACAAAGAACAATGCAAAAAATAAGAGTCAAAGAATTCTGGCCCAATAAAGCCAGAAAGGCTTGTCATATAAGCCAATGCTCAAACACCTAACTACTACAGAAGCTTGCTCTTCAACCAGGCCATTACAACCTTATGGCAATTCAAGCAATGCAGCAAGATGCGACGGGACTAAAATGGATAAAGGGAAATTAAAATTAGAATTTTACATATCAAAGACATTGCTTTAGAGTCCAACTCAGAAGGCTAAGAAAGATACTCCTTTCATAATGTTCTCCTCTAAGTAGATTAGTCCAAAGGATATTTAGAAGGTAAGCTCTATGAAGTCAACAGCTTCATTTTGTTTTTTGCCATGGATAGCAGCTGGCACACTTAATAGGTACTTACTAAATATAAAACACTACATATTATAGAGTTTCTAACTATACCAACTAAACCCAAAACTCATATTATAGAACTATATTAACCAGTTACCAAATACTAGACAAGGCATCCAGTAAGTCTTTCATTCATTTCTTGGATTCACATAAAAACCATATAAATCACTTTATCAGAAACAGTAGCTAAGAAAGTTACAATCCAAACTCCCAAGCTTACCAGAAACCACATCAGAGAGTACAAATGCCAAAATAAATATACTGAAGCTTTTTGCTAAATAATAAATAATTAATGTTGCATTACACATTTATATATTAGAACATCTACGTCCCTCATACTAAAGCATCAAATAGCGGAACAGAACATCAAATGCTAGCTTTTTACTTCAAAAAATATATATTTTTAAATCTGTATAGAATAAAGTGACAGCCTCAAATACTGCTAACAGGAACAGTAAAAGAGCAAATGCTGATCTGCAGGGAAAAAAAAGATGTTAGTCTATATTTTAAAGGTAGCATCTGAGGCACTAATTATGGGCAAGTTTCTAAGATTTATAAACTGCAAATCACTATATATATATATATATATATGAAATGTCACTTGTTAAGAAACTCAAATACAGCCCAACACCCATTGTGAAAGCATTTCCAATATTACGCTATTGATAACAGTTTGATAAGATGTCTGACAAGACAAAATTCATTTGTGAAATGGAATATTTCCTTACTAGAATATTTTGGTCAAAGCAAGAGACATGCTCCAAGCTCTGTTCATCATTTAAGTTCAGCTCCCTCATTATAACACAATCACTGTCAGGAGAAGGGGATTCCTACGTGTCTGCATACTGTACTGTTATATTCTACAGTCATGAAGACCTCAGTGCACTTATTTTTATTTAATGCTATTAAATTGTGCAAAAACAAGTACATAAACTATGTGCCATGAAAAAATTAAAGCTAGAAGGCTTTCCATTTGAGGAAGAGAAATAAAATTTGAATGAAGTCTTCAAATGATCCAGAACCTACCTGCTTGGTGTTTGATGACTGAAACTGTGCAGATACTGGACGCTATAAAAGACAGAAAAATAGAATAAAGCCTTATCTTCTCCTAACATGCCTATACTTTCCATCTCCTAGATCTATGATAGAAAAAGGAAAAAAAATAACCTCCAAGCAGAGACCAAAAGCAAGTGTCTTCCACTTTGTAGTTTGAAGCCTAGAGCACTTATTCTCTTTCACACGGACTTTCCCCTATGCCATAAGTATTTCAGCTTCAACTTCTCATCACTGTGGGTACAATCCTACTACCAGATACTGAAGACTCTAAAGTTAACCAGTCCATCTGAGAGATTTGTTTCACATGGTACACACATCAAATCGACAGTTCATCAGCCATTCTATAAGAGTTCTGCAGGCTGCTTACGGATGAAATCATGCTATTACCTACCAGTGAGTAAAACAAGTATTGAATAGACTTTCTAGAGTTCGTAAAGAGTTGCCAATAAAAGTTGACAGGCAAGCTAAGAAAAGAGATCAATTCATCCAGGACTGGCATTCACCTATCCCTAGAAGTGAAACTTGGCGGAAACTGTTAAAGCTGCACAGAAACATTCATGATCCTTTATACACAATCCTGCAGCTCTTGAAACAGACACTTCAGGAAACAAATTTAAAAAGGAATGTGACTGCCTAAATTAAGTTTTCCTGGTATACCTAGGTTAATCTTCCACTTTTTCTCATTAAAAATTAAAGAAGATCCTTTGATCTGTGTTGATACACTGATCAAGTATAACCCTATTGCCTGATTTTATTTCTAATCCAAGGTAACATCCCTCAAAATATAGTACACCCTATTCTACATCCTAACACTAATTAGGGAATCATTCTAGAACAGGGATCACAAATAGGCAGCTTACAGACTGAATCCAGCTCAAAGATTCGTTATAATTGGCCTGCAAAACATTTTTTAAATGCACTAGTTGCCAATATTCAAAAGTAAGATTTCTGATTTTTCTTGACAATAGAAAGATCTCATGACATTTGGCCTACACTTATGCATGGCAGTGATCAGCTAGAGCACATTGGAAAACAGTTGCCCCTTTTAGATGAGGCCTGTACTCTCCAGTTTACCTCTCTGCACCTTTCTTAGCTGTATTATGCATGCCCCACTTGTGATTTACATGACCAGCCTGCAAGTCTATGGGCGTTTCGAGTTTAAAAATCCTGTTCTACTGAAAAATTATCTGAATAAATAATAGCATATGAGCTTGGCAAACAGAAAGACTACTTCAAATGAGGCAAACAAGCAAAAGAAACAAGAGAAGGGAGTAGAGTGGAAGAAGAAAGGAAGGGAAAAAAACAGGCGTAGAGGGCTAACGTGGGAGGGGAGGATAAAAGGAAAAGAGAAGAGGGAAAAGAAGCTGATGACACCTTCAGAGAGTTTACAATCCAGCAGAGGAGCACTGGACAATTTAAAAGCAACAACGCCGTGAATGCAAACAATCCAATATAGGACAAGTAAATAATGTTGAAATGAAACATAGAGGTCATGAAAGAGTGAAATGGAGTTAATAAGAAAAAAATCTCCAAAACTTCTGAGCAGGAAGGTAACCAAACCATATGGGAAGAAAAGACAAATGTGGATTTTTTTTAAGTAAGACAAAATGTGAAAGGCAGAAAACAGAAATGGAAACTTAGCAGAGGCAAAACAAGCAGAAACTGACAAGATGATGGAATGAGCAGACAGAAGGTTGAGCTGACTGGAGAGACCAGAGCAATGTTTGATCAAATGACGTTTCAGCCACGTACAAGCGTTGCTGGGCATCTATCTCATTTTGCCTCAGTCAATAACTCATGATCATGGAGGATCCTTTGAAGAGAACTCCTGTAGAGAAGATACTACTTCAATGAAGCATCTTCTTTATGAAGCTGATCAGAAAGAATGAAATACTAAGATTTAGTAGGCCTCCCTCTCTGTGCTCTGTGTATAAGCATATTCATCTGAGAAAAAAGGATGATTTCTAAAAAGAGAAGGAAAAAGACAATGAAAAAAGAAGCTAAGAGAAAACACCAAACAAAAAGCAGGGAGCAAGTTGTCGGAAAGCATGGCAGGCATAGCCACAGCTGAATAAAACCACCTGCTATCTGGACTGGTCGGCAAATTCTTCTGCTCTAAGGGATCTCATATCCATAGGCTTCAGCTCCCTCAGGTACACCAGCTACACTTCCCAGTAAGCCTCCTTTGGGGTCCCTGCTGCTGAATTTGCTTACCTGAGGTTTCTGGAAAGGGTTTCGCCTGGAAGACTCAAAGGTGGGATAAATTGGCCGGGTTGATGCCCGCTGGGCAGGATCTTGGCACACAAATCCTGAATGAGGAATGGGCAATATTAAAACCTGCCATTTTCTAAGAAATTAGCAGGCTTGGCTATACCTTTTCTTTAGAGGCACAAACTCAGTTGCACTGTAATAAACATACTGAGATCCATCCTCAGGAGGATTACACACAATTCTCCTATACACACACTCTGACAAGGACAAGAAAAGGAAAATATGCAGATAAGTCATCCTTGCTGACTGGGGAGCCGGAATGTGACCCATTGAAAAAGATGTAGATTTTTGATGAACCTCAGAATAAATGTGTAAATCACCATTTAAAAACACATAGCTGCCAATAAAAACAAGATATTTTAAAGTGGCTACCTGGATGATGACTGGAAAGTAATGTTGTTTTTATGGGGAGAATTCAAAAGAAAGTGAACAGTCTTGTCCTGTTTCGATAATTTGCTTCTGGAATTGCAGAGGTGGTCTACTGGCAACGTTCAAAATGAGCTTTGTAGATTACCTATGGCTTTAGAAATTGAAATTTGGCCAATTTCACTTACTTCCTAAAGCAAAGCAGATTCCCATCTAAGGAGAATAGAGAACCTAGGCTTTGCATTAGTTGCTGGTACATCAGGTACTAGTTCATCTCAAATATATTTGATTATATCTTTTTATAGTACTTAATAAAAAGAACTCCACAAAATACTCACCTGACTGCTCATCTCCATTTCAAAATTTTGGTTTATCTACTTAAAATGGGATTTCTTCCTTGGGCTGCTTTGGTTATAACTACTACAGAAGAGATCATGTTGAGACCAGCAGACTGTCTAGTAGAAATATAGCCAGTTTTCTTTGCAACAGAGCAGTGGGTTTTACTTTCCCAGCTTGGAGAAAAATATACTTTCTCCAGATCTTTGCTTAATTCTCTTCCTCAGCTCATAATTCCTGTGCCCCAGGTCTCAGCTTTAGTTGTGGTTCAGCCTCAGGACAGGATGGAGCCAGGGGGAGTAGAAACATATAAACATTTCCCTGAAAATATAATTTTTTAGTACAAAACATTCAGCATGGCTTAGGAACTGCCAGTTGGCAACACCCATAGAGTCTGACAAAATGGACGCTCTGGTTAATTTTTATGCGCGTCCAATTCAGAAAACACTACTACTCACCTACAACAGTGAACATATCTGAAATCATACTGGCTTTAATCTTTAGGTCCAGAGGTGCATCGCTAACAGAACAGAGAAAGAAAAGAGCAATCGATCATTTTGTAGGTAAACAGAATAGCTCCCCTCTAATGGGCCCCAATAGTTCCAAATGTCAGTGAGGAGCAACACATTATTAAGCTCACCAAATCCATGGAAAAAAGAAAAAGAAATCTGGGCAAAAATACTAGAAATAAAATCCTAGTGTTAAACTCGTTCGCTGTAAGGCAGGTCCAGCACCAAGGTGTTGATTCCCTAGCATGCCTTTTTTTAATACCAGAAGGTCTTGTGCAATTCAAATTTTGCACAAGTCAAGAATACAACTTCATTACCACTGTAGATTTTAGAGGTTCAGACTTTTAGTATACTCTTTTATGAGAAGCCTGCCATTCAAATTATTTTTTACTGCTGCAATAGTTGAATCACATTCACATGTAAGAAGAAAATTTGGCCAACTTTTTTTTTTTTAAGTCTTCATTTTCTGCTCTAAATCGAACTTCTTAAGCTTGCAGGCTTGCAATAGAGCAAAAAAATACAAGTCATGCAAAAAATCTCACCAGATGATGAAGCAGGAACCCACATGGAAACAAAAACAACATGAGCCAAAAGCAAGAGGCCCCTGCTATGCTGGCTTTGGTGCTGGGTGTTCCTCCATGAACCAGACTACTCTGGCTGCTATCCCCCACGCATCATTCTTGGGATTTCTAACACAGTATAATGCATTTTATTGGGAAATCTGCAAAGGGCTGACTTGACAAAAGTACAGCATAACATCTGAAACATCTGTAGTATCTAGCACTACACCTCACTACTGAGGCCAAGCCAAGTTCTCACTCCACAAAGTAGTCAATCTGTCTTTATATGATTACTTGGCATTTTGCCAATATCTCTCATCCTTAAAACTCAGTAGCTGGGTGGTCCTTGGCACAAATCTCCAAAGTTCTCTGTTTAGAGAAGTGTATAACTAATAGAAATTCTGGCTGTAGCTGAAAATATAAAAAAATTTTTCTCTGGTATTGAAAAATATGTTTCCTTTCTTCTTCTAAACAATGAATTGGTTAAAAAAAAATTTTTTTTTTAGATCGTTTGAAACTTTTAGACTTTAAACTTGGATGAAGACCAGGACATGAGACAGGGCAAAAGGACCAGATATTACCTACCCTGCCTTAGATCTAACTTTACACCTTTACAGTATATGCGGACTTGAGTCTGCATAAACTTTTGGTAATAAAGGAAATATAATAGCTTACATAGTTTTTTAGCCTTAAAAAAAAAAGTTACAAAGTTTTTTAAAAAAAATAGAGAGACAGATTAAAATCAATGTGAGAATTATCCCTTAGAAACTCAATAAACAGTAAACATATACTGCAAACTGATGAGGAAGACAGATCTATGGTTGACATATAGACTGACAATATATCATAAGCCAGCTCAATTTAGAAATTCTAATCATCTCTAATAACTAGGAAAAAGTCTTCTAGTGCCCAGAGAAATGACCCAAAAAAAGTGTTTCAGTGCTACTTGAAGGTTTGCCCTTTTCTAATTGACAGAACTGACTTACCAGGCCAAAGAAGGAGAGAGATTCACTTCCAACAACCATGGCTTCAGAGTAGAATCTATGAGCACGTCAAAGCCATAGAGTTCTAGAAATACAACATAACACAATACACAAATCATTTTCCATGTCACAACCACACAAAGATCTAGAAGATTTGATCCAATCAACTCCCATCAGAGACCTAGAAACTCGCTGAGTAGTAAGTAGAGGTCAGGTGCAGTGGCTCATGCCTGTAATCCCAGCACTTTGAAAGACGGAGGCAAGAGGATTGCCTGAGTCCAGATACTACAGAGGATTGATACCAGCCTGGGCAACTTGGCGAGAACTCATCTCTACAATAAATAAATTAATTAACCAGGCATGGTGTTACACACCTGTAGTTCCAGCTACTTGGAAGGCTGAGGCAGAAGAATTGCCTGAGCCCAGTCGGTTGAGGCGGCAGTAGACATGAGTGTGCCACTGCACTCCAGCCTGGGCATCAGAGTAAGACTCTGACTAAGAAGTAGTAAGTAGAAGTAGAAGCAGAGAGTCTTTCAAGTTCAAGAAAAATTAATCAAGTTCTAGGGGTAATAAGAAAACAATGCTCTAAAATTCCACTGTTTTTATTATCAATTCTATTGATGTTCCTAAGTCCTACAGAGAAAGTAACCTGACTCTAAAAGAGTTAACAAGCACGATTCTGCTGTGTTTATAGGAGAAAAAAAAAAAAAAAAAAACTTGGGAAAATAATAAAAAAAGCTCATCCAATATCAATGCTGCTTTGGGTCTGCTCTGCTGTGAGTGTCCTCCCCTCTACCTCTACCTCCCTGATACTCTCTGAAAACAGAGAAATCCACTGAAAGCATCTCTCTAGAATCCTTCCACCACACTTTCCTAAGCCAAGATCTTGCTTTTGCACCTAGGTCAAGAAGACATCTAAATGTAAAATGCACGTATTCCTTCCCTTCTCCAATGGTTTCAATTTCTCTTTGAAGATAGAAAACAAAACCCACTGGCCCAACATAGACAGAAGAGAGGAAGCCAGCGGTAGCAGAGCAGAAGTGTGACAAGCCATCGTGCACCACTAATATCATTTGAGAAGGTAGGGAGTCGGAGATCAAATTTCCCTGGCTTATGGATTCCTTACAAAGTATCCTCCTTTGGTTTCCCAACTGTCATAAGAAGCAAAGTAAGACCCATGAGCAGGTTTTTCTCATTTCAGTTAGCAAATTCAGGGAACTTTGGGGTATTAATGAGATCCTCTCTACAGAAATCACAGTAGTGCAGTCCTAGGTATACATATATCAAATATCAGACTTTCAGAAGTCTCACTCATTCCCAGACATCCCATCCTATGTCTCCACAAATAAACTACTCACACCTTTTCTCCAAGAGAAAAGACTACCTCTCTCACTGTTGGTCTAGAGATCACAGGCCAGAGCTCATATCCATAGAACACAACCAGTATTTTCCAGAAATTAATTCTGATACCAATTTCCTTGCTTCAAGAAGGATTTTTTTTTTTAAGTTATCAATTCTCTCAAAGAAAGAAAGAAAAAAAGAAAGAGAAAGAAAGAAAGAAAACAGAAAAATAAAAGTAGGCTTCTAAGAAGCTGGCCCAAAGACTCTTCTAGAACACAGAAGTCTGACACTATATAATATGATGTAGTACCAAGAATCCTAGACTGGGAATCTAGACACCTCGTTGTCCTCACGACTATACTGAGCAACTTGGGGAAATAATTTCTCTCTCTGAGATTTAGCATCCTATGGTTTCCTTTAGCCTCTTTATTAGTAGTTTGTCAACATCTAGATGCTCAGCAAACCTGTACCCTATTTATGCAGTATGGATTCAGTTAGACATGCATATTCTAAACCCGCTAGGGAAAGTTTCCGTGAATGAGTTGGTTTCTAAAATAATTATTTAGAATTCCAGTTAATTTGCAAAAATAATCACAAACATATAAGAGTTTGAGATGAGATTCACCTTCATATAACTATATAAAATTTACATATTATCTACACTTTAAAATGTAAGGAAAGGGAAGCTCTTTCACCTATCTTTTGGTAATAAACTCACAGCTTTTACAGCTACTACATTCTTCTGAATATCTGACCTAATCTTCAGTAATCCCACAAAATAATCTCCCTCTAAAATGAGAAAATTTTTTGTGATACATACCACTAAGGAGGCATTAAAAAAGAACTAATTGTAAAATCTACAAATCTACATTAACATAACACAAGCAAAAAGAATACAATGCCAGATTCAAGAAAAATGATATTCTCTTCAGTTTTTAAAAGTTGAAGCCCAGGATTCAGCTGTTTCATAAAGTGATAATATGAATAATAAGAGGAACAGGAAGAAAATGATGATTGGTACACAACTGATCAGGTATGCAGATCAGTCACAAATGAAGACACATTCGAATCAGATTAACCATCAATGAGATCTACTATTTAAACACCTTGCATTAAGCAGCTACTACATTTACTTAACCATTTCTTCAAATCAGAGGCAAATTCCAAAATCTCAGTTGACAGGCTCAAAACTAATATTTTGGGAAATGAGAGGGGGAAAAATGATCTAAGGAGAAAACATTCTTAACAGCACTAAGTTAACTTATTCACTCAGATGAATAAAATCTGTTGGTACTAAACAATAGCTATAAAGAGTGTCCCAAACTAGAGACAAGCCTCAACTCTAACTGCATCTATACAAGTATACTGGGCCTGGACCTACTACCACCTCGAGTCTGGGGGAAAGACATACACTGGTAAGTGGCAACATTCTAACACTGGGTGGGACAACTGAAGATTAGGTCAGATATTCAGAACAGCATTACAACAAAGCCCAGCTAACCTGAAAGGCTGGAACTAGAGAAAGAGGTACGAATGAAAAGACAGTTTTTCTATCACGTTTCCCTCTTAAAACAATCAACTCAAAAAATTTTAAAAATGGGGTCTTGGAGTCTAGAGTCCTTATGATAACTCTTTTAACTTAAATGAATATTTTCTACTGAAATTAGAGATTTTAAAAGGTAAAGAGTAAGCTGTACTGAAAATATCAAACTTTTTCACCTTTTAATGTTATGTGTTTTAGCAGTAGTATGTCAAATTTCAAAAATTCAGTATCCAGAATGAAAGATACCAGTGTTCCTGCCCCTAAGAGGGGCAAGCAAGATAGGCCTCTCCAGTTCTAAGCTCCTCTTTCTTTGTTCCTTGGTGTTGTCTTTATCATCACTGAAGAGCAAGTATTTCCTTTTTTTTTGAGTTGGAGTCTCACTCTGTCACCAGACTGGAGTGCAGTGGCCGCTCCCGGCCACTACAGCCTTGACCTGCTGGGCTCCTGCAATCCTTCCGCCTCAGCCTTCCAAGTAGCTGGAACTACAGGCGCACACCCGGCTAATTTTTTTGATTTACTGTAGAGATGAGATCTCGCCAAGTTGCCCAGGCGGGTCTCGAACCCGCGGGCTCAGGCAATCCACTCACCTCAGCCTTCCAAAGCACGGGATTACAGGTTGAGCCACCGAGCCTGGCTAGAGCAAGTATTTTCAAAGGGTTATTGCTACTACCTTACTAAACATTTTCCCAGGACAGTTTTCCTTAGTAAGAAATATTTCCGTCAATCCCCAGCTAAACCAAAACTTAAAAATTAGACTAGAAGAACCTTAAATCCACCTCCTACTTTGCATTCATGCCTTTATTTCTTAATATATTTTCCTTTAAAAAAAAAAAAAGACAGGGTCTCGCTCACTTTGTCACCCAGACTGTAGTGCAGTGATGCAATTAAAGCCCACTGCAGCTTTGAAACTCCTGGACTCATGTGATCCTCCTGTCTCAGCCTCCTGAGTAGCTAGAACTACAGGCCTGTGCACATCCAGCGAATTTTTAATTTTTTGTAGAGATGGGCTCTTGCTACATTGTCCAAACTCCTGTATCAAACTCCTTGTATCAAACTCCTGGCTTCAAGCAATCCTCCTGCCTCGGCCTCCCAAAGTGCTGACATTACAGGCATGAAGCACCATGCCCAGCCTAATACAGCTTCTTGAAAAAGCAATCTACACTAAGTTGTCTGAACTTTCTTAGCATCTATTCACTCTCAACCCATAAGAATTTGCTTCTGTTCTCACTCTCTATTAACTGATTGTTCTCAACATGATCACCAACGACCACCTTACTTACTAAGCCAAAGCATCTGAAACTGTTGACTAACCTCATTTAATGGAACTTTCTTGGTAACTGAATATATCCATGTAACCCACACAGAACATTTCTATCACCCCAGAAAAATCCCCCATGCCCTTTCCTGGTAAATATCCTGCCCCTGCCCCTATTCCTGACAACACTGTCTTATTTCTTTTACCATAGATTGCCCATTCTAGAATTTTACATGAGTGGAATCACACTTCTTTCATTTAGCATGTTTTTGAGGTTCATTCATCTGTTGTTTTTATATTTTAAGATTTATTGAGGTATAATTTACATCCAATAAAATTCATCCTTTTAAAGTGTATATTTTGATGAGTTTGACAAATACATATAGTTGTTCCACCACCATCACAATCAAGACATAGAACAATTTTATCACAAACGTTCCCTTGAGCTCCCTTCAGGCAATCTCCATCCTGCCATACTCTAGTAACCACTGATCTGATTTTTATCTGCTTTCTGTCTTTTCCAGAAAGCCAAATAAGTGAAATCAATACAATTTGTAGCCTTTTAAGACTGGCTTCTTTGACTAAGTATTGTGTATGTAGGTTGCTACTTATCAGTAGCATAGTTCATTCTTCTCTGTTGCTGAAGAGTATTCTCCTATATGTACATACGACAATTTATTTATCTAATAGTTAATGGCCATTTGGGTTTCCAGTTTCTGACAAATATGCATAAAGCTGCCAAAGACATGTGTGTACAGGTGTTTGTGCAAGCATATGGTTCATTTCTTCTGGGTGAAATTGCTGGGTCACATGGTTAAGTGTATATCACCAATGCATACCTCCTACCTCCTTAGTCACTCCCCTAGCACTAGCCTCTTCTCACTGCAGCTCATCTCCAAGGCCATCAGAATTATTTTTCTTTTCCTTCTTTTTTTAAAGCAGGATT